AGCAGTTCAGAAAGAAATTTCACGACCTCCTAAAAGACAGGAGCCGGCCACTCAACTCCGTCCTTTCCCCTTCACACTTCAACTCGTCACAACCCCAGCCTTAGGAACCAGCTCGCCGCTCCTTCCATCTACCTTTTTATAGTCAGACCTCAATCCTTATTCCAAAAATAAATCCTCCTAAGATGATGAGAGGCAACAAAAAGCAAAGATAAAAAGTTTTCACTTGTATTGTTTTGTTATGGGACATTAGCTGGACAGAATTATTATCATGTTTTTACAAATTTCCCTAAAACAAATAATTTGGGATATACCCAAATTACTCCAGCTTCTTGGCCCAATATGTTTTTGCAATTACTTGGCAGTCCAACTCCATGCTACTTAAATTAGTTAACAGTCACTAAGTTATTTTTAGACCATAGCAACACTCTCTCTCTCTCTCTCTCTCTCTCTCTCTCTCTCTCTCTCTCTCTCTCTCTCTCTCTTTCTCTCTCTCTCTCTCTCTCTCTCTGTCTCTACTATACATAGCTTGTTATCTGTACTCCCTAGGAGCAAAATTTGCCTTTATACTGTCACTATCATTTCTTTTCAATCAACATCAACAATAACATACTACTATATTTATGGAATGCTTACCATGTATGTGTGGAAAGTTCTGAACACTTTACACACACTAATTCTTTTATTTCAGAAACTAACACTTTGAGACAGCTATTGTTATATCCTCTTTTTGTGAATGAGGTAACTAAGGAACTGAGGGATTAAGCAACTTGCCCAAGGGCACATACCTAGTAAAAGGGGAGCCAAGACTAGAAGTCAAGCTGACTAGATCCAAAATTCTGTCTTCATTTCTCCATCATTTGCTACAAGGCTGAAGTTTTGCATTTTAGCCTTGAATGTTAACCAGAGGCTCAGAATAACAACAGCAAGTTTGTGAATGTAGATATGTCTTTATTTCAGGTATCTTTTTAAAAATCCTCATAACATCTCTGAGAGCCAAGGGGAGACTTTTATTCCCTGCCCCACTCCATCCCCCAAAACAGGGAAGAAATAGAATATTTTTCACAGGGTCTCTGATTTCTGAGCCTAGCCACTCACTTTCTCATAGAACTCTACATTGCCAACAAGGTTATATTTCTGAATCCTTTTCCACTAGGAAAAATGTGCAATCTATGGTGCTCAATTCCCAGGAGGGATGACGTTTTATACCATAAACGCCTAACTCCCTGCATGATCAAATCCTCCCCATGGATCATCCTCTTAAACCATTTCCCTCTTCTTCTCTCGTTCCCCAGTAAAGGCCTTTGGTACAGAACAGGGCTATAAAGAGTGTAGCAGTTGGTCAGTCTTTGTTTTACAACGGCATTGAGCAAGTACAGGCATCGGTCTGACCTATCAGGGAGGAAGGGGAGACACAGACCCCAAGGAGGCACCTGAAGCCATCCCACTCTCAGGGAGGGAAGCTCCTCAGCAGACCTGACTGCCAGTCAGTCACAGAGGGATTTCAAGTTGAAAAGCACTTAAAAATGGGTACATGACACTGAAGTATTTAGGAGAAAAATGTTGTTCATGTTATACTATACTATACAGTATTTCCAGCTATATTAACTTGAAGCATTACGTTTAAACATTAAACATACTTAAATACATTAAAATGTTATCTATAGTATATTTTTAAATATTTCAACAGAAAGGATAAAGCAAGTAGGAAAAATATAATTGTTTAATCTGGTTGATAGGGATATGGGTGTTGATTACACACTTTTCTGCTTTTCTATATGCTTGAAGATGCTCATAACATTTTTAAAGGCATATACTATCTTTACGAAGAGGGGGCAGTAGACTATCTTTTCCTACCCAGGTAAATGACTAATTATTTCCCTGGACCCAGCTTTGCTGAAAAGAAAAGAAGCCCCAAGAACTTCATAGCAAAAACGGTAGCTCTCATTATGAATGGTCTAGAATTGCTCAGCTTTCTTATTCAGTTTGACTAGAAACAAAGTTTTAGTTGATTAAAAATCAACTTTGTGTAAAACAGATTATAATTCTTTCAAAGACCTCATAATCCCTAAATACTTATTCATTTGGATCATTTTCACCAAGTTAAAGAGAAGCACAGGTTATTCTTCAGAAGATGAGATTAAAATGCAGATTCTAACATAGGTCACAATAGGGAAGGCACTGTAAATTAGAACAGTAACTTAATCCCAGGGGCTGCCATGCCTCTGATCGGTTTCTTCCCAACCTGACACAGCATTACTAAAATGGCAAGTTAGCAGCCGCTCTACTCGACAGACAGCACCAAAAATGGAGAGCATGGCATGGAGACAAAGGGACAAGAAGCTTGGATAGGGAGGGTAGCAACCAGTGTTTACAAACATAAACCATAGCATCAGATGGGGCAGCCGTAAATTACCCAAGATTGTACTGAAATCTCTGAAAATAAATTAACAAGCCCTTAAGAGTTTCCTCCTTATGTTCTAACCATGCCCCCCAAACCAACTTCCCTGCAAAAATTACTCATTCCAAAATGGTACCACTACCACTCTTGCTGAAATACAATCTTATCACCAAGGAAGAGGATTACTCAAATAAATCTGAGAGGAGAAGCCAGACCAGAATGATCTGCTTGATCCACTCAAGAACCTAGGAGAAGTCTGCTGGTCACGCCTTTGGGGAGTGCCCACCCCGTCCTTCATCACAATGGAGCTCTGGTATTCATCTCTGATTTACCAAGTTGAAAGGATAATGAAGAATATTCTAATATTGACCCATTCCTTTCCCTTCTTTTCCATCTTGGTCCCAATTTTAGGCCATTCTCCCAAAAATACCAAAATGACAATGACAATTATAAAGTAGATTACAGATCCTTTCACTCCTGAACTACATATTTTCAACCAAAATTCCCAGATATTTGAAGAAAAGGCCCCAAAAGCTACAAATAATCTAACCTCTACCACCAGAGCGTCTTCCAAGTCGACCGCCGCCGTGTCTCACCAACTTGAAAATGACGAGGCCTCGCGGTGGCTGCCCAGGGCACCCAGTGGTGAGGTCAGCAGTGTGTCCGGCCCCGCCCCATTGAGGCAGTCTTACTCTCTGACATTGAGGAACAAGCCCAGGCTGTCTGAATTCTCAGCTGCATCCAGAGCAAAGGGAGAGAGGCACCCCACTTTCACCAGTTGCACCCAGGAAATTCACTTCTCAGTGACTGACGGGTCACCCCTATACACAACTCCACTCTCTGCAAATTAGACAGTAGGGTCTGCGACTGCTCCTAGTCACCCCCATGTTCAGGTCTAGGGGCATCTTGACCTGGGTTTTTTCCTCTCCACAGATCATGGGGACACAAAAGCCTTGCTTTTTATCTTGAATCTCTGTTCTGTATGAGAAAAAAGGAGATTATCAAGATCATTGGCTATCCTCCTCTTTGCTCCCCAAGACAAACTATTAAAAATGGGAAATTTCTAGGTGGGACTTTCTCATTAGGCTAGACAATAGCAGGGTTAGGGAATCACTCAAAGTCAAACAAACAAGAATACAGAAACAAAATACAGAGCTACACAGAAGAAATCTGAACATATCTGTGACCCCAAGAAAACCCACCACCACCACCAATACCAGGAAATGCCTAGGCACTTCTGGAACTCTCTGCATACAATTCCATGATGTTCTCCTTCCCAGCAAAGCCCGCCAGACCTAAGGAGAAATGTGCCTTTGTGGTAGTGGAGCTGCATGAGGGCTAGCTTGAGGGGAGTGGATGGTGGGAAGAGGAGATTGTGTCAGTGGAATTCAGAACTATATTTCCCAGAATGCTGCTTAACAAAAGTCAGAATGCCTCACTGGGAAGACAAGAAGGAGAATGGCAGAGCTGTCCCATAGAGACAAAATAACTAGCTTGCTCACCCATATGGCCTATTGCAATTTAAATATGCAATGTGTTCAAACTCAGCAACACCCTTGGTCAACACACTTTAGGAGGCTGGTTGGAGATGTAACCCAGAAAATGTGTACCTTGGCTCAAAACACAAAATGAGACAAGAAAGAAGATGACTATCTCTCACTACCATCCCCAGGTAAAAGATGCCAAATGAAAGTGATGTGCAGTGCCCCAAAGGACTGTATCTGAGGGCAAAGAGGAGCAATTAGGCTGGGCACAGGATGCAGGCTACTTTGAAAGTTAAGGCAACACTCTATGGATGGTGCTCCAAGAAGAGTGGGTGAGTAATTCCTTCTGCTGGAGCTCTGTTCCGCTAATCTCAGAGTTATTCTGCATTCAGTATACTGGGGCACATGACACATTACTCCATCTTGGGAGGAGCCATGATGCCAACCGTTGTCAGGTGAGGCCAGAAAGAACAATGGGTCAGGGAGCATTTCATAGAAATGTCTCTGTTCCCTTGGAGACTTGGCAGAGGAATGGATGTAGTTGGTGAACTTACACTTTTTATGGGGCCTTAGAATAAGCTCTGCCCTTCTTCAAGGTCACTTTATAAACCACATAAAAGTCAAGCTGGTCAGAAAGGTGAGAAAGAAGAAGAGTTTCCCACAAAAAGAACTGGTACCTGTAGGTTTACTTGTAGTTCACCATAGTTGTTCCTTCCTCTGCTCCATCAACTGTGGTTAAGTCTGAGAGACAATAACTTTCCAACTAGTGATTGATTGGAATAGAGCTAGCAGACCAGGCATGACTTGAGATATCATCCGGTGGGATCAAGCCCCCTTTAGAAAGATGAGAAAACAGTCCCAGAGAGGTGAAATGACTTGCACAATGAGAATTAGAAGCCGAATTAAGGGTAGAACCCAGATCTTCTGGCTTCCAGTTCAGCGCTGCTGAGTTTTTCTTACTAAACCAATATAATAAAGAGCATAGCAGGGAAGACAAGAATAAAGTCTATTTTGGTCTTTGGTAGCCAGGGTAAGGAGAATGCTGTCACTTCTGTGAGAAAACCCAAAGTGAACCCAACTAATCAGGACCGTGCTTGGGAAGGGAACAGGGGCATTACCTTTCAACACCAGAGGTTCTTTGCCTTCTCTCTTCAGGGACTCGAGGACTATGTGAAGTGGCTGGGAGGGCATCACTCGGCTCGGCTCATTGGTATTCTCATCATAGACTATAATTTCTTTGGAAAAGATCCTCTTGAAAGAGTCCTTGCCTTCCCTACAGGAAATCAAGTCTAGGACAGTGATCTTGCCCTGCTGCAGTCTCCGCCGGCTGATCTTATCGGCACAGTTAATGTGGACAGCTCCTTGGATGTGACTCTTGTTGTACTCCATGAAGGGCCTGCAGTCAATGATGACAGGACCCTGACTTGGCAGGTGACTCTTGCTGCCTTTGGTCATCTTCTTTGCCAAGTCATTGGGGTAGATTATTTTGATGCTGGCTAGCTGTTTGGGGGTCCCTGACACAGGGCTGCCCACCCCACCTGATGGACTTAAAGAGCCTGTATTCTCATTATTGTTGACCATCTGGTTAGCAGGGCAGGTGGTAGAGGTTCCGATGGCAGTGGTGGTGGTGCCAGCGGCGATGGCTTGGGTTTGGGCCTGATTGTCCTTGTCGTAGGTTGCCACAGTGCAGCAGCTGGCACTGCTGCATCCACAATTCAGAGAGCGGGCAGAGCCGCTGGATGAGGGCATATACGTCAGATTCGCAGCCTTGAGGGACACAACGGTGGTGGCGATGACAGGAGGGTGGCTGTTACTGCCTGGGGCGGCAGAGCCAAGGTAGCTAGAGTCTAAACAAAGGTTGAGATCCTGAGGTCGGACGGGCCTAGATAGTGCCACTACTACCCTGTCGTCTAAAGGAGACGGAGGCATGAGGAGGCTGAAAACTGGCAATTCAAGAAGAACTCAAGACAGTCTGTAAAGAAGGGGAAGGGGAAAAGAAAGAATAAAGTCACGTGACACAAAAGGCAGTCTCATCCAATCCCTAGGAAAAGCCGTTGTATCCTGCTGAGCAAAGTTGTCCTAGTTGCCCTTTATCATACCACTGTCAAAACTTGAAACTCATTTTTATGTATTCAAAGAGGATGCAAATCCGAGGGCCCCAATCTATTTGGTTGCTAAGTCTAAGGTTAAATTTGGATGTAATGCTGTAAATGTTAATGAACAACCTTTCCTGGACCTACATAAAAGTTCAGCTGTAGAGAAGGTAAAAGCACAAATAATTAGAAAAGCTGAAGACAGAAGGGAAGATTCTTAAGAGGCGTCTATTCTGAACCTCAGCTCTTGGGAAGAAGTACACTACAAACATCTGAGAAAGACCCATTTGTCCACCCTTGCATGTTTGCCATTATTTAATTCCCTCACTTGCTTCAAAGGCAAAGGGATAATCAAGAGCACTGGCGTGGCTGACAGAAATGTACAGCAGCTAAATATACATCAGGGTGGATGTCAACTTTCTGCAAATCAAATAAAAGGATCCCCTTAAGTGAATCTCCTTAACCTGGAGCTATTTTTGCCTTCCATTCTATTGAGGTCCTTTGAAAAGCACAACATAGTCATTTTAAAACCTCACATATTTTCCTTTGGCCTCTTATGAATTAATCTGCATTTCCCTTTTTTGACTACTAACTAGTGTCCCAAAACGAAATCTTAAGCCATGAAGCCAGATCTGGAAACACCAACCCCAGCAAATCCATCACGCTTTGCTCCCCCACCTACCCCCACCTACCCCCACCCTCACTCCTGCCTGGAAAGGACAACTTGGGCTCTTCTCCCCTCTTCATCTTTCCGGCTGGCACAGACTGTGCATCCTAGAGCTTCTCTCAATGGGAGGCAGACACGTTGTATAAGGTTTCAATTCCATACAGATAGATATCCCCCCTTCAAGAGTACTGATGCCATAAAGAGGGCTTCCCAATTAGCCTGTGCCCGTTGAAAGGGGCAGTGAATTGTTGCCCATGGGATCTATCTCTGATTTCAAAGAGTGTCTGCAAAAAGACAGCTCCTTCCTCCTGTAGGCAGAGGGACACTCTACGACCCGGGCTTGCTAACTCTTCTTCTATTAGGCATACACACAGCAAAGACAGCAAACATCATGCAAGAGCCACTCACCTAAACGAACTTTAAGAGCTATCTGGAAAAATGCCATCTAGCATTTGTCTACACACGACCGTCCCATTCTCTGACATAGAACCAAAGTGTCACAGACGGAATCCACACTCACGCGCGCACACGGGGGCACGCACCCATCACGTCGGCAGATCTCCACCGACTCAGGTTTCTCTCACCCACCTTTGGATGGGAGCGAAGGATCCAACCCCCTCCCTCCCTTGCGTAGTATTTTTTCTGAAGAGCGAGTACTATTCCAGAAGCTATAACTGTTTCCAGGCTGGACCAAGCAGCGAAAGTCTTCGCTATTGTGTTACCTGGTAGGGCACGTCCAGGATCAACAGCCCATTTCTTTTGAGAGAGAAGCATAAGCGTGTTCACAGAGACACACGCTGGGACCCCCACTTTCACACAGAGTGCGCGGCACACACACACACACACACACACACCCCGAGTGTATAGAGATCTGCATCCCTGCAGCATAGGGTCGGGCGTATATATCGCCTGTGAAACCAACCAGTCTGGCTCAGAAAAATCTCCCAGAGAAATACTGAGCTATCCCCTCTCCCTTCCACCACTGGAGAGAAAATTAAGTGGTAAGAGAAGCCTTCTTCCCCACTCCTGGAGCACTTAACATCCCCCAGCTCCCCCTTCGCTCCTCGGCACACAGCGCGCTAATGAGCCCCGGGCATTTAAAACTGCAGCAAAGCATCCCAACAAACCTCATTTTTTCTTCGCCCAAAATCCAAGTAGACTGCAGAGAGAGTAAACGCACAGAGCAGCAGGAGCCAACAGCCGGAACCTTATAACCCTACCTGCTGTGGCTCCTCCGTCAGCATCGCCTCTCTATATTTCTGTCTCTCTCACATACACACACACTCACACTCACACACACACACACACACGCACTGCCTTACACTCCTCCACTTCCAGTCCCGGGCTCTCAGGAGTAGTGGCGGTGACTTCCAACTTACTTCATAAATAAGTGTAGCCCTCCACCATCTGGCGCTCGGCTTCAGCTATGGACTCGCACATTCAGCCCCCATTCACTTGGCTTCATTGATCTCCAGCAGCAACATAGTTACTTTCTCTTTTGCTACACTGTAAATGTAAGGTTCCGAGGGGGCGGGCCCGCCGCCGACCGACGGCGCGTTGGACCAATAAAAGTCCGGGGAAAGCCGACCGCTACCTCACAGAGCCCTTCGGCCAATGGGCAGCCTAGGGGGCGGGGAAGAAGGCGTGGCCTCGTCTCCTTAAGGAGGGCTTATCCGACGCGGCTCTGGGTCCTCTGTGTTATAACACGGGCGGTGATGTCATTGGCAACCAATCAAAAACTTAAAAGAGCCAGCCGGGGCCGCGCGGAGCAGCTGCTCTCTATTTACATGTAAACCGAACCGGCAGGATGCAGTTAACCCTTTACCCGGCTGCAGCGCCCGCGGGCTGGACGAGCCGCTCGGCTAAAGCTGGCTCCTCCCCCTGGACGGGATCCTCCAACGCTCCCTCCCCGGGGACAAACCACGCTCTCTGCTTTTCCTCCTTGCTATGGACGGATGATCCAAAGTGTCGGAGTAACTTTCTAAAGGAAAGACACTGCGATCACCGCCCCTAGTGGGAAAGCCGGGTTCTCCCCGAGTCGCTCGAGGTGACTTGACAAACCCTAACCCAGGATTCGCGGACCTCGCCGGGTCGTCGTGAGCGCGCAGCCAGGGCGACGCTTCTGCTCCCACGCGCGGAGGGCCCGAGTTCTGCAGCCGGCGGTCCCGGACAGGGAGGCCCTTCAGCCTCGGCGCGTCCGCCTCCCGCCCGCCCGCCCGCAGAGGTCGCTGCCCCTCCGGCCTCCCCGGCTTGACCGCCGCGCGCCGCCCTCCCGCACACCTACTTCGGCGCGCAGGTCACGCTCCTGCCGTCCCCAGGCTTTTCCTCCCCGGGCTCGACCCGGAGCACTAAGGCTGCGCCACTGAGGGCTGCTCGGAGGAAGAGGCCTGAGTCGACGTCCGAGGCGACGAGGGACGCGCCGGGAGCAGCGGTGCGGAGGCCAATCCCCCGGCCGGGCGTCCCGGGTCCGCCACGCGCCCGCCGCGCCTCCGGGGCTTGGTCCCAGCCGGCCGCCGCCCCCTTTCCCGCCTGGAGCGCTGGGTCCCCGCGCCGTGCCAGCCGCTCGCAGCCCACCCGCCCCACAGGCCTCGGGCGCCACCCCTCCGTCCCGCAGAGCCCCTGCCGAGCCCAGGACGGCCAGCCTAAGCTGGCATCAAACAGCCGGATCCGAGAGCAAATAGCCAGATTGAACGGGGTGAGAGCAGCGTGGAGGAGGCGACGCCGCGGCTCCCGCCTCCCCTGACTTTGGTCCGCCCGAGGTAGCGGGAGAGCTGGCCTCAGCGCACGTCCCGGGGGGACAGTGGGGGCGGGGCAGGCCGCCCCGGGCCGGGTCTGGAAAATACTCCTATCGGGGAAGCTGCAGGAAAGTTGCCCGGGGATACAAAAAGAAGTGGAGATGAACAAGCCCAAAGGAACTGTGGAGAGTCTTCATCCAGAACCCTAACGAAATCCAGCTTTTTCTTCTATCTGAGAGGAAGGGATAAAAAGTGAAATAATTGTGATGGAATAGTACACTATGAGCGCCAGGGAATGTTAGCCTATCACTTTTCTCCCTTACCTGATTGGTTGGGGTTTGGAGGTCTACTTCAGACTCCAGGCCTAATAGTATTCTAAGTAGCAGGGGCATATTCATGTAACTGTTTTCAGGGCAGATCTGAAATCAGGAGGTGTCAGACCATAGCTAGCGGGTCAGCTATGCTCAATGAGCTGTGAAGAGAAATCCCCTTGGGCACCTCCACTTATATAGAGGCACATACCGTGCAGTCCAGCTTTTCACACTGGCGTTACAACCGGCGTCACGTGCGTCTGATAGTCTTACATAGGAGAGGGTTTTGTGTAACCTCTGTCGACAAAAAGACTGAAACTCTGTAAAATATTTGAAGAGACTTATTCTGAGCCAAATAGGAGTGACCACAGCCTGTGACACAGCTCTCAGGAGGTCCTAAGAACATGTGTCCAAGGTGGTTGGGGTGCAGCTTGGTTTTATACATTTTAGGGGGGCATAAGACATCAATTAAATACATTTAAGAAATACATTGGTTTGGTCCAGAAAGGCTGAAGGACTCCAACGCGGGGGTGGGTTTTCAGGCTATAGGAAATTTTTAACATTTTCTGGTTAACAATTGGTTGAGTTTGCCTAAAGAGATCAAAGAAAGGAATATCTAGGTTAAGAGGCTGTGGAGCCTGATGTTTTATTAAGCAGATGAAGCCTCTAGGTAGCAGGCTTCAGGGAGAATAGGTCTCAAATTTCTTAACAGATTTAAAGTCTACGTTGATATGTAATGAGGCGTGTGGGAACCTCACTTCCCCTCATGGCCTGAACCAGTCTTTCAGGATAAATTTTATAAGAGCCCTGGCTGAGAAATTAGTTCATTCAGATGGTTGGGGGTGGGGGTGGGGCTTAGAATTTCATTTTTGGTTTACACCTTTCTCCATTCTTACACACACACATTCACCTCCTTGATAATAGCAGAGTGCTTAGGGTACACCGTTTGGTTCTTAAATATTTGAGGATCAACGGGTTATAGTCAGAAAACTTGGGTTCTGGGTAATTTCTATACCAATCAGAAAAGAATGTCCCAGAGGTTCTATCCTTGATCTATCTGGAGCTGGAAGGCTGCAAGCTTGCTTTTCCCTAAACATAGACAATTACTGGAAAAGTTTTCATTTACTCAGAGTTTGTGAGTTGTAAGTTCTAATTCTGACTCTGTTATATCTGTTCATACAGTCTCTGTCTTCATTTATTTATCCGCAAAATGGTAATACCCCAACACAGAAGAAAAAGGGAATTCATTCAAGTGCTCAGGGGGAAAAATCCCCTGCTGATAAAAGGCATTCAGTGGGAAAAAACATTAATTTACTTGCTTTAGAAAATAAGGTGCCTATCTTTAAAGATACTTATGATCTATAAATGATGAATTCATTGCTAACACCTCAATATCTAAGCCCAAAGTATAGATTTATACAATTGCAGAAGAGTCCTTAACAGCTTTTCCCACAAGGCCCCCCAAAAAGAAAAGTAATTTCAAGAAGAAATGTAACTCTTGTAATGGGATGATTGTTTTATTACTGTTTCAAACCAGTAGATTATTATAATTTAGTTGACTAAGTATCTAAGCCATCCAAGCTGAAACATTGGGAAAGATGGCAAAATTCCTTATCATTTATCAAACCTGAGACACAGAACAATTACCAGATTGTAAATAAAGCAATGTTATAGTTATTTTTTAAATTAGGCACCTCTAAGCTTATATTCAAGTCATAGAGTGGTGAAAAAAATCAGATTATAGATGGAATTTTTCTTCCATTCACTACTCTTCAAAACATCTTTTGGACAAGAAGAGGTGATTTTTTTCCTGTTTTTTAGTGATAGATGTGAAAATACTACACTGAAATACACTGCCCTGAGACTTAAATACATAATGCTAGTCAGCCAATGGCTACAAACCTGATCTATGTATCAATAACCAGCAGCGGAGCCTTAATGTTAGATTTCAGTCTCAAGGAAACAGTGAAGCATCTTCATTCAATTTGGCTGTTGTAACATGATTGTGTTGAGTCATATATTTGCTCTCACAAACATACGAAAAATATTGACTGTTTCAGTGCAAAGTGCTATGTATTAAAGCCAAAAGATGATGAAACTTAGGCCAACATATAAGACACTGTCAGGCCTCCAAGTCCAAGCCTGGCCATTACAGCCTCGGTGACCTGCACATGCACCTCCCGATGGTGTCCAGGAGCCAGAAAGTCTGAAGCAACCAGATGGCCACAAAGAGAAGTGAAACAACTAGTTCCTGCCTCAACCGGCAAAACACCCAACAACACTCTCCAGGCCGAAGGAAGAACTGGTGAGGCTTCCCTGAAGGAAAGAGCTGCTATGGTCTGAATGTGCTCCCCAAAAATCCTATGTTGAAACTTAGTTGCCAATGTGACAGTATTAAGAGGTGAGGCCACCAGGCACGGTGGCTCATGCCTATAATCCCAGCACTTTGGGAGGCTGAGGGAGGCTGACCACAAGGTCAGGAGTTTGAGACCAGTCTGACCAACATGGTGAAACCCCGTCTCTACTAAAAATACAAAAATTAGTCAGGCGTGGTGGCATGCACCTGTAATCCCAGCTACTCAGGAGGCTGAGGCAGGAGAATCGATTGAACCTGGGAGGCAGAGGTTGCAGTGAACTGAGATCGAGACACTGCACTCCAGCCTGGGCAACAGAGTGAGACTGTCTCAAAAAAACAAAACAAAACAAAAACCCAAAAAACAAGCAAAAAAAAAAAAAAAAACCACACAAGAGATGAGCCCCTTAGGAGGTGGTTAAGTCATGAGGGCAGAGGCCTCCTGGATGGGATTAGGGCCCTTACAAACGGGCTTCAGGGAGTGAGTTTGTTTTCTTCCATTCCCTTGTGGGGACACAACATTCATCCTCTCTGGAGGACACAGCAACACGGTGGTATTGAAAGCATAGATTAGACCCTCACCAGACAGTGAACCTGCAGGTGGCACCTTGATCTTGGACTTCCCAGCCTCCAGACCTCATGTGAGCAATCAATTTCTGTTCCTTCTAACTTCCTCAGTTTCAGGTATTTTGTTATAGCAGCGCAACTGGACTAAGACAGTGGCTACTGCGGTGGGAAACAGAGCAGGGCCGTGTGCTTGTCTCACTAGCTATGAGTTTGAACACAGGAGGCCTGCAGTCCTTTTTCACAAAATTAATGGGCAGCTGTGTTTGTGACTCAGGAAAAGGCTCTGAGCCATGTAAGTCTCTATTTCTATATTTTCCAGTATGGTGGTCATTTGACCATGTGTCAGCCACTCGAAGTGTGATGAGTCTGAATTGAGATGTGCCATAAGCTTAAAATACACATTGGATTTTGAAAACTTTAAAGTGCAAAATGTCTCAGTTATTTTTATATTGATTATATGTTGAATTGTTTATATTTTGGATGTATTGACTTAAATAAAATGTTATTAAATTAATTGTACCTACTTCTTTTTGCTTGGAGTAGGGCTCTTAGAAAACTTTACATGGCTTATACAATTTAAAGATTTCTGTTGGACAATGCTATTCTAGAACCTGTAACTGAACCTTCGATTTGAAGTCTCTTTGATGCCAAAGGTTTCAGAACCACAGACTACTGAATCTGGAGGACACACGAGAGCCTATTGACCCCAGTGGTTCCTAAACTGTATTAGGATGATCCAAAGGGAGAAAAGACACCAGTGCAAATGGGGGCAATAGAAATGGGAGCAGGGGTGAACTGGTGGAGTCCTGTGACCACACTCTTGTCCCCGACACCTCCACACTTGATAGATGCAGGTATGGCTATGGATAGATACTTGGCTTATTCATGGGATTCCAAAGTAAAATTTCAGGTAAAGAAAGGATTCTGGTTGGGGTATTTTTGTTGTGGTGGTTCTGTTTTTTTTTTGTTTTGGATTGGTTTGGTTTGTTTCATTGTTGTTGTTGTGGTCGTCATTGTTTTTGATACAGAATCTCACTCTAGCTCAGGCTGTAGTGCAGTGGCACAATCTCGGCTCACTGCAACCTGCACCTCCCTAGTTCAAGTGATTCTCCTGCCTCAGCCTCCCAAGTAGCTGGGACTACAGGGGGGTCCCACCACTCCTGGGTAATTTTTTTATAGATTTAGTAGAGGCGGGGTTTCACCATGTTAGCTAGAATGATCTCGGTTTCCTGACCTCGTGATCCACCCACTTCGCCCTCCCTAAGTGCTGGAATTACAGGTTTGAGCCACTGCTCTCAACCTCTGCTTTGTTTTTCAATCATGTCCTTTTTTTTTCCACCTGTAAATCAATTTCACTGGATGGCACAGCCAAAGTGTGCATGACCTCAGATTTCTTTTCAAGGTTCACCCTGGCTTCTATTGATCACACAGAGGTGACTGACTATTTAAGGGAGTTAATATGCTCCTTATCTTCATTTAGGCAAGCAGATCCTTTTCAGCTTATTCTCCCCCTTCACTGGTCCTCTATTTGTAATCCCACAAACATTTCCTGCTGTTTGTCAGAAGAGGATTCTGCCTCAGCCCAAGTGTGTGGACCATGGATGTAAACTCATTTTCTTTATGAAAATAGCACACACAAAAACACAATCACTGGCCTCGGGTCTCCGACAATGCCTCCTCTGTGGCGGATGGCCTATTATTATGATGTGTTGCTACATCAAAAACTGTTAACATTTTCCCCTTCACTAAGCTGAGCAATCATGTTTTATCATTATGATATGCTCTCAACCCCAGGAGGCTGGGTCCCACTTTGTTACTGAGGGACAAAGTTAAAAGTTAAGCATGCATGCAAAGCATTCCTAAACCCCTTCAAGACTTGCTTTAGGTCTAAGGAATTAACCTAACATTCTCAGCATCTTCCAGTAGGTTCAGACTGTACCACTTCTACATATAAGACGTTCCTTTAGACCACAAAGTGCATCATAATATACTTTATCTTAATAATTGAATATTAACTGAACTGATTTTAAAGATCTAGAATTTGGGGGGAAAATAATCATAGGTAACATTTATTGAGTGTTTTGCTCTGTGCTACGCACTGCTGGAAGTGATTTACATGCATTAACTCACTTAAAGCTTCACATCCACAGTGATCTCTAAGTACTTTTTCATTAGCTTAATTTAAAGATGAGAAAACAGAAATACAGATGGGGTAAGTAATTTGCCCAAGGTC